TCCAGGAGGGAACAGGATGTAGAAAATCTCTATATGCATTTTAGGTGACTGCAACATTTTCCTTGCAGCAGCCCTAGACAGGGCTGTGTACACAGCTTGGAGCACAATTGCCTCCTGTGAACGCAGGCGTGTGCTTACAGCACGACTGCTTGTGATGACCAAGAAAAAAAGCAAAAGCTAAGAAAACATTTCCTTTGTTCATTTAGACACACACATGTTACTTACTGGAATGGCTGCATCTGGTTTAAAATCTAAAGGAATATAAGAACTGCTTGAGTGGATCAGTCAGAACTGGGATGCATGATTTAAGGAAAAAATGAGAACCCATGGTGGGTAGAGGGAGGTACTCTGCTCCACAATCTTTTCATGTTAGCCCCTACTGTAGAGCTGTCACCCTAAGAAACCCCACTGCACCCACCATCATCCACAGCTCTACTTACTAGAAAGAAGCTCTAGGTTCTCATGCAGAAGTTAGTTAGCAGTTTTGGCCAGGGTCACTAGCTGCCCAGCACAGGCAGTTTTAAGAAAATGTTCTCATACTGGGATCAGAAATCACAAACCCTTTGTCTGATCAAATTTATTTTAACACAACTGAGACTTTGCCTGAGCAAAAGTCAAGTATAAACTTTTTATATCTAAATAGTTTGGTCAGTTTGACAAGTATCTAGCTAGCTAGAGCCTCAAGAGAGTGTATAGCAATAGTTCAACAAACCAGATATATGCTGATTTATAAATGTGTATCTCTGGCAGTTTTCCTTGGGAAATAAGAATCTGAAGGTGTGTAAATTCCCAGTCATATGTATTTTAATCACCTGTGCCTGGTGTCATAGACCATCTTGATCCAAATTGTGTTTTAATTGGGTTCTACCAGCTGCATTAGATCTTAAAACTTGTCCATGTTTCCCTACAGCTTAAAGTAAGTATTTATGCATTACTAGTGTGATAAAGAAATGCATTGAGAAAACGAACGAATATCACACTGACTGCATTGTAAATCTTGCCTGCGTTGCTACTCTGTCGGTGTTGAGAGGTGTGACTGATAACTGGAGAAGACTCACTGCCTTTCCATACGGTGTATGTCAAGACAAGTGATGGGGTGAGCAGCAACATGGGTTGTATTTATTGCCAAATGGTCAGAGAGTTATTAGTAGGTGCAGTGCTATAAAAGGTGTGTTCTTGGCTTGGTTTGTCTAACCCAAGTTGAAAACCAGGTATAATTAGGATCTGAACACTGATGTGACAACTGACACTGTGGACGTTTACCCACACTATCCATCCTGAGAGCATCTCTCTTTTGTCCCATGGTTCTACATTCTTCTGTATTACATTTCTCCTTAATGTTTCAATAATTCTTTCTTTCTCTCTCTTCCATGTATCTATCTTCTGCTTTATATTGATTTCAAGACTCTTCTTCTTTCATTTCCCCTTGTCCCCTTCTCCTCATTAACCACATTTGGCCACTCAGACCCATTTAACAGAATACTGTGGAGAGCAGACTCTGCCTTTGGCAGTGCAAGGAGCAACGTGTGAAACCCTCTGCAGTTACAGAGAAATCATCTTGTAATGGTCACACAAATCTCTCAATTTCCTTGATGCTGCCAACCAATGGGAGCAACAGGGATTTGTATCTCGCCCTGAGAAAAAGCAGGGCAAGTATTAGGCAAACTAATCACGCTGCAGGGATTTGTGTAATGAAAAGTACCTCTGCTTGAGGGTCAGAAACAGTGTAAATCATAGGTTGGGGCAAATTCATTTGGTATCTCCTTATTCTCTTCTGTCATGTTCATTATCAGGGTGCCTGAACATCTAAGAAGTGGTACAACAGCCTGGTCACCCTATGAGTAAGGCACATGGTTTGTCTCAGGGAATTTTTTCAGAGGCAGCTGGAAAGCAAACTGGTTTACAGACTGCACTGCACGCAGGAGGGCTGGCTTCATCTCACACCGTGCAGCCCTGTCTCTGCCCGGGGCCTCGACGGACTCCCTAATGCAAACAATAGTAATGCAGACTTAATGATCACTGTCATTTCCATGTGCCTACCGCTGATCTCTTAATGAAATACTCTATTTAAATTGCACTGGCACAAGCACAGTTCCATGCTGGCAGGAGCCACAAAATCAGTCTACCAAGTGCAGAGGTTCTGCAGGACCTGCTGTACAACAGGAAGGCTGTTGGTGAAATACCGTTTGACAGTTTTTCTGCCTGCTCCTGCAGTAAGCGTGACACTTCCTGGTGTTCTGAAGAGAAAAAAAGAAGATGGAAATTGCCTTTATCTCAGGTTGGGACACAGAAAAAATTCTGAAATGAGGATGACAGTCTGTGGCAATATGGATTTGGCATTCGTTGATGGGTAAGTGCTATCCATTCACTGCTGCTGTAACACGCTTGCTCTCTGCTGTCAAATCCTGCTAGGAGCACTGCTGCAGAAGAGAAAATTGGGGACATGCAGCATCACACAGACTCTTTGTCTACCTATTGTCGTAAGCAGGAAACCAAATAGTTTTTAAAAAGCTAAAAATCTGTAAGATGACCAAATGTGTGTTGTAGGAAATAGGAAGAGTAAAATCACTGAAAAGTGACGAGTTTTTAAAGGTGAACATACTACATGCCCAATCTAAAATAAAGATAAATGGAAAACATACATATTCTTCACTGTTTCAGAGATGAACAAAAGCATGGAGCTTACATCTTTGTAAGTCACCAGCTCTGGGAAGTATTGCATGGCATAAGCAGAGTTCTCTAAATTTCACTTTGACCTTGGTCGTGCACACCTCACCCCTTCCCCAGCGTCCTCCGGGCAGTGCTCACTGCAGGCAGTCGCAGGCTGCTGCAGGGTTCCAGGAAGTCTTATAGGAGCTGGGAGCTCCTGTAAAATCAGGGAATTCACACAGTTCGCCTGTGTTATAGCACCTACTCCATCCTCCTACCAGCTCTCTCAAGGCGAGGAAAAGCTGAAGTTGCTGGTGAGTTAGTGGTTGGCTGATGGAAATATTCTCCCCCTTGATAAAAGCATATTTTCAAAGTTAACTACTAAGAAAAGGAATGCAACAGGAGCTGTAATTTAGTCTAGCTACTCTACAAAGCCCTCCTATAACTTCCTTGATGATTCTGTGTTCTCTCCTACACATTTTCATTTAGCTAACACTAAAAACTGCTCCAGCAGAATAGAAATCGGCCTTACTCGGTAATGATCCACTAGCGATGGTTGAGAGGGACATTATCTTCCCTGTTCTATCACTAAAAGGCAAAGGGGGAGGCCGTTTCCTTTACTCATACCACGGGTTGTGTTAGAGACACACAGAATGAAGGGAACAATGACCAAGATTTGCATTTGCTGAAGGGCTCAGTACATTGCTCTGTTGTGAGCGGGCCAAGACCTTCAGCACATGAATTCTTGTGATTCATCCTTCCCTCTGGTCTACCTCTCTGTATCCAGCATGGTACAGAGAACTCTATGTGTTTATTTATAGACAAAAAGGTCTTTGCTTGTTACTGTAGTATTTGGGTGCTTGGCTCAGGCTCCCAAGCTGGAGGGGGGGTTCAGACTGATCTGGTGAATCAGTATTTTTCACTCTCCTGCCAGACTGCTGAGTGACCTTGGGCAGTTTACAGCTGCTTCACCTCTCACCACCTCAGTTTCTGTAAAATTATCCTGTTTTACTTTGAATAGCATGTAGATATCGACTGATACAAGGACAGGGTGTTATTGCTTAAATGTGACTCAAATAAAGCCAATGCCTACAATCAAGAACCAGCAAGGCAGAGAAATTGAGGGAAAAGAGCAGAAATGTAAAATTGTTCCTCTGCCTCAGCTGTTCTCCCCTCACTGCCCTGTCTGACCACCGGCAATGACAGCCCAACTGCATCATCCGATTTACTCTGTCAGCCACGCTGAGAAGTTCAGGTAACCCCCCAAGGCATAGTAAGTGACAATCTAAATAAGCCCACGCATGTTAGGATGAGTCTGTTTAAAGGTTACAGTTCTTCGGTGCTGAAGAAGGCACATTTCGGCGCAGACGTTTCCCTCTGGAAGGCTCTGGATGTGGAAGCCTGGCAAGAAGGACAGCGTGCTCCCCACATTCAGGAAGGCCAGGCGGCAGTCCTCCCCGCTGATAACACCGTGTCAGCCGTGCCTGCCCAGTTTCTCCTTAGCGGTTTAAGTGAAGGCATAAAACCACGGATGCACAATACAGCGTGGCTGCCAGTCACAGACATGTCGCACAAATGTAGTTTAACCGGTCGAAAAGGCAAACAAGTTTCTGCTGCTCACGAATGTCATACGCTGAAGGTGACTGTCTGCCCCTTCGACAGATAACTCCTCCGGGAGTTTGCAGGAAGCCCCGTCCTGTGCATGAGGGTTACGACGGTCTCGGAGCTGAGCTGTGAAGAAGCCGGGCAGCGGGAGACTAGCTGCGTGCTGGGGGGTGGGAGGCAGATACCGAGCGGTTCCCGGCATGGCCTTTGCAGGGCCTCCTGCGCTCACGGGGCCTGCTCCTGAATTTTGCTGCATAAGCAGCCTGTAAAATGTCACTCGCGCAATAAAGAGGCACTTAACATCTTTCTCTTCCAAATGTTTACCTGCTGTCTAAGGCAGCAGCAGGTTGGACACACGCAGCCCGAGATTTGGTGAAGGTATCCAGCCCATTGCAAACCCCCCAACTGCCACTGGGCTGCAAACCCTCTCGGCTCGGAAACCCCGGCGCCGGCCACAGCCTGTCTCTT